CGACACCTTAAAGGCCGGTCCATGAAAATATTGTTGGGCATAAACCGGTCCGTGGCGCAAAAAAGGTTGGGGACCGCTGCTTTAGGGCGTGGCTCTCGGTTTCTCAGTATGATGCACACCTTGCACATGATGCCTGGTTTCAAAAGCTACACTCAAAAAACTCCATTCAAGCCCAAAACGATTAAGATACTTCAATTTTTGTGAGTTTTTGAGACCGCCATCATCAGTTTCTTTTTTATACAAAAATGCCAAATGTAATATGCAAACTGATATATATTGTTTTGCAGTTACCACTGCAGTTTGAAAAAAACGAGAATTTTCTGGCAATTATTTCATCGTTCAGGCTTTACTGGGCTGTGAGGGTCAAGAATATTTGTTTTGAGTATATAGTCTTTAGAAACTTTAGAAACCAGTTGGTTACATCATCTTTTATATACAGTCTGACAGATTTTGCTTAACCTGGCAAAACATTTGTAGAAAGCCTCAAATGTTAAGAGGCAAAAAAAAAAAAATCCACTTTATTTATTATTATTAAGAGCCACTTTATTTGAATCTAAGCTATTCTAAGCCAAGCTAAACTGAGCTAACCAGCTGCTGGTCTCAGCTCTGTATTCAACATACAAATGCCAACAGCAGTGAAGCTAAAAAATGGTAAACGTGAAAATACGAGTATTTCCCAAAATGTAAAACTGTTTCTAGGACGTAAATATGGAATAAGTAGCAAAGAGTAACAACTACTAGCAATATTCTATATAATATTGCATTCAACAGAAATGTCAAATACTTTGACAATTACTTTGTATTTAACATATAATTTACTCAAGTATAATGAAAAATTAAGAAAATAAAAATAATTATTTGGCAGTTTTAAACTATGAAGTGAAAGTCTGATTGTTCATATAAAACATCTCACATCTTCCAGAAGTTTCCTCATGTAGACTCACTTTCTAATATAAGAGGATCCAAAATCTACGAAATATTTGTTATTTATATACAAATATTACAATATCTATATATATATATTCTTTGGCAGGTCAAGTTTCAGCGTCACATCATCAGATAGATTTATAGTTTGAGACAAGCTTTTAAAAAGATGAAGAAGAAGATTAAAAATTATTTCCATATACTAAGCTCAAGTTTTTTCATTCTTTTGGTGCTTTTGGAGTTTTCTTCCTGGGCTGAGGAAGAGGAGGAGGCTGCTCTTCGCCGTTACCAGCTGGAGCGGAAGCCTGAAGGAAGAAGAGTGAAAATTGGTGTATCAGACCTAAATTATGTATTTCCACATGACTCACTGTTGCTGTTTTCAATTTTCATTCTAAGCAGTCAGAATAATAGCAAAAATAAAAGCAAAAATAAACCATTTTTGGTCTATAAAACTTCTGTGTCATCTGCTTCTGTGTCCTACCTGCGTAGCCCGTCTGGGGTTGGGCTGAGGTTGGCCGTTGGCGGGCTCAGGCGCTCTGGGACGCTGCTGGGTGCGTGGCTGTTTAGAGCGATGTTGTCGGGGGCCGGTGTTGCCTGCCGGCTGCTGCTGATGGTGGTGGGGGTGATGATGCTGATGCTGATCAGAATGATTTTGATTTGGATGTTGATGATGGTGATGATGATGCTGATGATGCTGATGTTGTTGTTCCTGATTGCCCCACTGCAAGCGAAGCTCCCTCTCATCTGTTAAAGCAAATATAGGTCAGACCTGCAGAATCATAAGGAGGTGATGTCCATGATGGACGTTAAGTTAGACAACATCCTCTCCTCCCCAACCTGCTCGATGGACTTCAGCGGACAGTCCAGGACAGAGCTGGCCCTCCTGACCAGTTTGTTAAGTTTTTCTCTGTTCCTCTCTGCCACCACTCCTGCAGACCACGGCATAGAAAATAGCAGATGCCACCACAGTGTCATAAAATGTCCTAAGG